GGGCCTCGGTCCACTTGTTGTCAAAGATAAAAAGCCCGTCTACGCGTCCCACACACTAACTGGTTCCTACTACATGTATCGTGTTTTCTGGATGAAAAATTGGATACCCCAGGTGGGATAGGGAGACCTTATTCAAAAGGACTAATTTCAGCCATAAACTAGTTGCGCTGGTAGCTCCAAAACACAGCCATGAGGACCAAACCATTCCGTCGGTTGAACACCCTTTGATCCAGGACTCTGAGGACTTCCTGATAGATTGAAATACGTTGATTACATATCGCAGTGGAAAATCCATTCATAAAAAGGGTTACATCTTAGCTTCGCGTTAGACTGTGACTCACACAGTTTCCGTTCTCCTTAACTCCATCTTCTTCCTTGTCCCCTGAAGATTGCCCTCATTGTAAGTTAATCCAAACTTTGGTCAGAAGCTACTACCAAATCCTTGTGGGTGGACTATATTCGTAATAAAAGCAATTCTTGACTGGATGCAGGATGCGTTATGCTAAAATCGAAGGGAAATTCACTTGGTTTCTTTATGTGTAGCTGAGTTAAGCGGTTTGGGTGGTCTGACAGACATGGTAGCAAGGATACCCCCCTACACTGAACGCATCTGACGGGAAAAGATGCAAAAACGAACAATAGCTGCAACATCCAAAAAGGGGGCATTAAAGGGGGAAATTTAAAACAAAAACTGCAACAGTCTATCATTGATGACATCAGGGAAACAAAAAGCTGTAATAGAGGGCCGATGGTATTGATAATTAATTTTTTTAATTTTATTAATGCATGTAATTTTTATTTAATTTTTATTTATTTTTAAATTACCGCGCGCTTTTTGTTGGTATATATTAACTATTTTATAATAATTTTATATGTTATTTCTTGTTTTTGTGTACTAAATTTCTTTTCTCTTCTCTCCTGCGTCCCCATTACCACTGGTCCCAAATTACAGAATTCCCCGTTTTTTTTCGTTTCAGCAGTGTTACCAATAGTAGATTGTTACCCAAAAACTTAGACTGACCAGGCCCAAAAAGTAGCAAGGACTTCTGCCCAGGTATCGAGTGCACCAATCGGTACCTAATAGCAGACATTTGTCCATAGCTTTTCAAGGCGAGAATTCTGCTCCAACCCAGCGGCGGACACGTTGATGAAAAACTGAAGTAAGGACATCGTTTTACAAAACAGCTATCGCAGATGGACGCAGACGATTGTAAACAAAACCACAGTCGCTGGATGGATGTACTGAAATGAGGTTGATCAACAAGTAAAACGTGTCTCAAATTGCACGGGTTGGACCGGTCACGTGCTCTAGCAGACTGAGTTCGACAATTTTGCTTAATCCGGAAAGATGGGCGATGCTAGTCACGTTACACACGAAACTTAGTGAAATCTATTGGCGTTCTAACACTGTCGCCTCAATATTCCATCCTTAGGCAAATTTGAGAGACTTTCTTAAGGTAAAGGCAGTTGAAGCAATCGCAAGAAAGTTGTGTAATAAACTAGGGCAGAAGTAAATATCAGAGACGCCCTAGGATTGACACGGGGACTGTTTGCAACCAAACTGCTCTCAGCTTTAGTGGGGAATTTTTCGAAATCCAGGCCCAACATTCAGAGCTTCCTGAATAAAAACGCATGAAGTGTGACGCCGCCACTTTTACCCAGAATTTCGAACGCCGCAAGCGAAAGTGTCCACCACTCGCCGCACAGAGTAGGCGAATCATCTATGGCCTGCGCGTGAATTTGTTTGCAGTGAGCAAGACGTGCGTGGGACGCGTAGAGGGGCTTCTTACCTTTGACAACCACCACACCCACGCCCACCATGGTCCATATACCTGCTGCCAAAGCAATTTGGGTGAGGGAGAACGAAAAATCATATTTGGCTTCGCTGGCAAGGCAATTTTAATATGAAAAAGGTGGGCTTGGGTGGGGCGGTTTTCAAAGCCAAAAAGCCCGTCTACGCGTCCCACACACGTCTTGCTCACTGTATACAAATTCACGTAATTGTCTTTTCTCGAGCTGTACACCAGTTCATTCAAGGTTGTGGAATAATGATTGTGCCCTCGGACTTTGTCACTTAAATGGGTTACGCCGCATATGCGCCGGATCAACATGAGTGTTAGATCAGAGCACGGCAGGCGTTAGTGGGACTGCACATTCGAAAAAAATATCACAAACATTGAGGGTATGATGGCATGCATTGAACTCAGTCCACTGCAAGTCAACTATCCGTTTGACCGTCGTTCTCGACGATGTCCACCACGACCTTCAGCAAGCTAACGGCAGATACGATGACTATAGTTGGATTATAGTGAAAACAGACATGCAGGACCTGCCCAACTCTCTGACCACTCCCACACCTGAACCCGATGTCAGGGCGAAATTCGATAAGACCGGACATGGAGGAAGGCGCAGGCGGTGTGCGCGAAACACACTCCAACATGCGCCACAACAACACCACCTTGCTAGGTAGGCTCCCGCCTGGGAGCGCTATTAAGGCCACATTAAGAAGGAGCCAATGCAGCCTGACTCTCAGTCCGCCAGTCA